CGCACACCGTAGGGTTCACGACCCTCATTTGCCTGTATCTGACCCGAATAGTGTGTATACGACCATTATCATTCCCCGAACATAATGCACACTGATAATGAATGTATGCAAGCTATCTTTCCGGCCCAGTACAGGCTCCTCTCTCCACACACACACACACACACACAGAGATAGATAGATAGATAGATAGATAGAGAGATAGAGAGAGAGAGAGAGAGATTAGCTTGACCTCGGACTCCACTTGTAACGGAATTTGCAACCTCTCTGCGCGAGCTCCACCGGGCAGAGTGCAGAGTCCCACAGCAGCCTTGCCTTTTCTCGATGTTCAAATCTGAACGTGTATGTGCAGAAATGATGTAGAATTTCCTGAACATCACATCTCCACAAACACGTCCACATACTCTACGCTGCATGTGGGACTTTATCCCCGGCAGGTGCTACTCCGTCCTCCGACCCTTTATCCCAACTGAAATGGATGGCCGCGGTACCCGCGACGGCGGGAAGGAATGGGTCCTGAAAAAGATGAAACTGCCCATTTTAAACTTGCCATACGTCGGGAGCGCCGCCAGACTTTTTTTTTGCCTTTACGAACTGGGAAGGACAGGGACATGCCGAACTGTGTTTTTTTTTTTGCCCATTCTGAACTACAGGTGTGACACAGGGGTACTTGCCTCCTTTTTTTTATACCTTTTTATTACGGGCCCAGTACCCAAGGCAAAGTACAATGCACCACAAAGTTCCAAATTCAGGGGCAGCAAGGTCTCCAGCCCCCTCCCACAGGCGGAGGAGCCCCTCCCCTCTGACAAGGGTCTCAGAAGGAAAGATAAAAACCTAATATAAGTTAGGTAACCTAAGTAGTACTACTTGGAGAGATGAAAAAGGGCGAGCAAGAAATTATGAAGTCGAAGAAAAAAAAATGACCACAAAGTTGAACCTGATCCAATACTTACTACCGTAGTCTAGGCAAGATGAACCTGATGTCCCCAGTTCAACCATGATCATCAGTTGTCACAATCGCTGGACAAGAAGCCCAGCGCTGTCGGAACTAGAGAACTCCACCACGAAAAGCCGCAGTCCCAACTACATTTTTCATCTTTTCACCGAATTGAATTTGAAATTGAATGCAAAAGGATAATCTGGCGAATCTGCCGAAGATTGCGTTTGATGCGGTACATACTACATGCCCTGATAAACTGAGGGAGTTCCTTCCGCAAAATTTATTTGTCCCTTAAAGTCTACAAAACATAAGTGCGGGGCTTGGAGAGAGGAGGAGAATTTAAAATGTGAAATAACATGGATTCCTCTGTCCACAAATCACCCGAATCTTCATATGATTGAATTGGATTTCGAATGGAGGTCATTTTTTTTTTTTCGTTTTAAATTTTTGTTTTTAACGAAATGAAGGTTTGTTTTACAACGGTTGAGATGTGTACCAACTAAGCTAACTTAAAGCCAGTCAGTAATATTCCCATTTCTTAGGAATAATTCCTACTACATACTATTTCCAATTGGGAATATTTTGTCTGGCGCCCCTTTATTTTCCATCAATTTACGTCGCGCCCTTCTAACGGCTGATTTACCCTGTCATGCCCCTCTGACCACAAGTCAAATTTTCCACAAAACCCTGGTGTTACATACTCCTGAATGTATCAACGAGTATGGGGCAGAACCAAAGATCAACCAATGTGGGATGAGCATGTATGCAGTGGAAGTCTGATAAACGGACTGACTCATACAGATATCACTCCACACACATACAATCGTGAGATGGTGGGGTCTGAGCCATGCACAGACGATGCTCAGGGCCCGTACACACATACACAGATGAAAGGTGGGAGGAGAGACGAAGGAGGCGGGGGAGGTAGACAGCACCGAAGGTCACCAAGATAGAATCCGATAGGTCACCGATATGGTAGTCCAAAATGTCATCAAACAAGATCAAAATGTCGAGGACAATAAGTCACNGGTCACCAAGATAGAATCCGATAGGTCACCGATATGGTAGTCCAAAATGTCATCAAACAAGATCAAAATGTCGAGGACAATAAGTCACCAATGTCAGAGATACAGAGTCCTAATGCAAACGGTGTCCGAACTGTGATGCCGCCGAGTATCAACCCCAACAATCTCCAAGTCTCGAATCCGGTAAGTACCACAGCCTCATACCACCGAAGTCCAACACTGATCTCTGTCCAACTAGTATAAGTCTCCAATCTAAAGAAGAAGAAGAAGAAGAAGTCTGAAGAAAGAAGAAGAAGAAGACGAAAAGAGAGAGAGAGATGGCAGAGGGGAAGGAGGTGAGGAGGGAACGGGACCATGGAGGGAGGAGAAGAGATCCTCGCCTCCTGGTACCTGCGCGACTGCTGTCGAGGCGGCTATGGCCGCCGTGCTGCTGCTGGTCTCCTCGCTCGCTGCTGCTGCTGCGCTAGCTCGCGCTGCTGCTGCTGTCCTCCGCTTCTGCGCTCAAAATAGTGCTGCTGCTGCCAACCGATACGCACCGGCATAACGCTGGTGGCTCGATACCTCGAAGTGAGGCCGGACCAGTACTAAGTACTGGTTCGAAGAAGACCGACCTCAATGCTGCGAGGCCTCGGTTGGGTCTGAATGGTCCAGATTGACGATTTAGATCCGACCGGAGAGCGGCAGCCTCAAAGGCGCCGCCAAGCCCAAAACGAAAATGTCGTTTGGGCCTGGTCCATCGGTCTGGTCCAAGTCGTGGCCTTTCGGCTTGATAATCCCCCAAGGTCGGGCCTTTAGGCCCTAATGTGTCCCTCTGGCCCTAAGTCGGGTCCGGTAGGACCCGTGTGGCATTGAAGATGTAACACAGTCCCCCTCTTAAAAGACCGAGCTCCCTGCGAGGGCGGAGTTGTCTGTCCTATACCGGGATGGGTCAGGCGGGACGAGCTGCTTCCTTGGCAAGGCGTCGCTTCTCATAGTCGGCGAAGATGAGGGGTGAAGACGTCTGCAAGTCTCCACTCAAGATCCACCGAGTGTCGTAAGGCGCACATTGCTTCAATGTCACTTTGAACTGCATTGGCTTGTTGCCATACTTGCGGTGCGTGATGACTCAGTCAACTTCTTGATTTCCGTCCATAGAAGGCGGATCCTGTGATGGACGGTCGGGAAACTCGTCGGCAGAAGGCAGTGTGTAGATGGCAAGCTTCGACGCGTGGAAGACCCGGTGCACTGTAAGGTGCGAAGGAATGTTGACCACAAAGGAAGGACCTGCGGGGTCGTCTCCAACGACAGAAGTGACTTCCCATGGTCCGAACCATTTCGAAAGGAGTTTGCGCAAAACGTCCTGCTCGAGCGCAAATTCCTCGGAGAGGACCCAAACAAGGTCTCCCTCGCGGAAGGGACATGGAAGTCAACGTCGGTTAGCTTGTTGTTGCATGCGGATTTGAGCCTTTTTCATATTCACGCGGGCTTTGATCAGCAAGTCCCGGTACTTCCGAACGGAAGCGAAAGAGCAAGGGACGTCTATGTCGGCGGCCTGTAGCAGAAGGAGATCAGCGAAGATCCGTGCTTTCTCTCCACCATGATGTAGCTCGAATGGTGTGACACAGATTGCCGGGTGCACCGAAGTGTTATAGGCGAACTCGATGTCGGGAAGCCGGTCAACCCAGTCTTTCTGGTCGGGACGGATGAGCGTACGCAACATCATCTGAGCGGTCTGGTGTGCTCGCTCCGTCTGGCCATCCGTCTGCGGGTGCCGAGCCGAGCTCGGCTTCATTGTCGTACCGGAATCAGCCATAAGCGAAGTCCAAAAAGCCGACATGAAGCGAGTATCTCGATCACTCACTATGTCTTTCGGAACACCCTGGTTGGTAATCCAACCGGTGTGCAAGAGTCGTGCAAGATCAGGCGCTGCAGCATGATACTTGCAAGGAAGGAAGCAAGCATACTTGCTCAAACGGTCAACGACCGTGAGAATACCGTCATGGCCATGGCGATCGCGGGGGAACAGGCCTGTCACGTCCATAGCAATGGAGAGGCGCGGTGCCCGAGGAATCGACAACGGTTTCAGTTCGCTGAAGGGGACTCGAGATCCACCCTTGTTACGGTGGCAAACTACACATGACTCAATGTACCTCGTGACGTCATGAAGGACGTCGGGCCAGTGAAAACGCTGGCGGRGGCGTGCTAATGTGCGGTTCACGCCAAGGTGTGCCGAAAGTCGTACGTCGTGGAATTCGCCGAGAAGACGAGTCCGTAAGATGCGATCTTGGGGCACAACTAATAAGTCCTTTCCTCTCGTGTGAAGGAGAAGGAACCCGTCGAAAATCCGATAGTGGCTAGCCGGCGGGTTATCCGATGAAGTTTTGCGTAAAGCGTAGAGTAAGTCGGATCACACTTGTAGCCTTTGATGAAATGCGGTTGCAGATCGTCATCGAGGTCGAATGTCGTGGTCACAATGGCACAAAAATCGGGCCGTCGTGAGAGGGCGTCCGCAGCTCGATTGGCGGGACCAGGAATGTGGCACGGGTCAAAGTCGAATTGGTCGATGTAATACATCCATCGACCGATCGTGCAAGTGACCGTATCCTGCGTTTTGTGAAAGGTCAACGGATTGTTGTCCGTATACCATTTAAAACGCCGACGACCGAGAAGAAAGTGGCGCCACCATTTGAGAACAGTGACGAACGCAAGTAGCTCTTTCTTCCTAGCGTCGTCGAGAGTGTTGACGCGAGGCACCTTTTGGGACAAACACTCGACCGAATGCCAATTGTCCTCGTGACACTGTTCCAACACCGCACCAATACCGTATCCCGAAGCGTCAGTAGTCACTTGGGTGGGAAGGGTGGGGTCATATATACGGAGGGCAGGTGTGGCTTGCATTGCTGCCTTCAACGTAGTGAACACGTCACGGGCTGCGTCGTCGAACTCGATGGGCACCTTCGGCCCTTCGGGGACTGAAGTCTTAACAAAGGAGCAGCCACTTTCGAGTATGACTCGACGAATCGCATATAATACCCAGCCAAACCCATGAAAGAGCGTACATCCGTCGTGCAACGGGGTTCCGACCAATCCACGATGGCTTCGATCTTGTCCGCTAAGGGACGAATGCCTTTCGCGTGACAAAATGACCCAAGTACTCAAACTCCTGCTTGGCAAACTCGCACTTGTCGAGATTCGCTTTGTACTTGGCTAGTCGCAAACGATCCAAAACAGCGCGAAGGTGTACGATGTGCTCGTCCAACGTCCTACTGTAAACCAAAATGTCATTGAGGTAAATGAGGACGCTGCGATGAAGCAAGTCGCGAAACTCAGTCGTCATAGCTGCTTGGAAAGTCGCGGGGGCATTGATGAGGCCAAATGGCACGACAACCCACTCAAAATGCCCGTACCGCGTCTTGAACGCGGTCTTGTACCGATCTTGAGGCTGGATTTCAATCTGGTGGTAACCCGACTTCATGTCCAACTTCGAGAAGTACGTCGCGCCGCCTAACCGTTCAAGGAGATCATCAATTCGAGGGAGAGGGCCGGCGTTCTTTACGGCTTGTGCGTTAAGTTTGAGATAATCGATACATAACCGTAGATCTTTGTTCTTCTTCCGGGCGAAGAGAACAGGGGCACTGTATGACGAGCAACTAGGGCGAATCCAGCCTTTGCCGAGAAGGCAATCGAGTTGTGCGCGAAGCACCTCGAGTTCCTCTTCGCTCATGCGGTAGATACATCCACGTGGAGGGACGGCGCCAGCCTCGAGAGTGATCCCGTGACGTATGGGCCGATCCGGAACCGTTCCGGTGAGGGCCTCGAAGACGTCACCATACTCATCCAAGAGGTGACTGATGCGTGGGTCCAGCGGTGACGCGGCTGGTCCGTCCGGCGAGGGGAGAGCATGCAAGAAAACAAGGCTCATCTCCTCGACATCATTCCGAGCTATGGCGTCGCGAATTCTCACAACGGAAACCACGTGACAAGCAATCGAAGTGTGAGGGGTCGCGACTGTACATGGGACTAGCACTCCGTTCTGATCACGGATGTGATCGGTTCCGTCATGAAAGTTCACCGGATGATCGGCGCTACGCAACCAAGACATGCCTAGAATCATGTCGAACTTGGTGTCGAGGATGTCAAAAGACACCGGCTCACACGCAAGTGCCGCAAAGTATACCGGAACGCCGTCGACGCATCGGTCAATTGACTTGTGCGTGCGGCCGTCCGCGAGTGTTACTTGCGTAGGTTGTGTCTTCCTTCGAACGCACGGGCCAACACCTGCACGGGCCATAAAGGCTTGGCTCATAAAGTTGCGAGACGCTCCGCAATCAATCAAGGCACTACAGGTTGCCTTTCGGATTTGAATCCGGATATAGAGCAAAGGAGCGTCGGTTTCGGCGTACCTTTGGGTGGCGTACTCACGGTCAATCTTCGCAAGATAGGAGCGGAGATCGACAACCGCTACCCCATCGTCCGTCAACGAAGCTGGTACTGTAGTGTGCAAATAAGAGCATGGATTTGCCATCAAGGCGTTGCAATGCGGCCTTGGCAAGGTTCCGATCGAGGGTAGAGACATCCAAAAGAAGTCCTCTCTCGTGAGCGGGTCAAGCTCCTCAAGTCTTGACCACGCCGTCAAGTCCTCGAAAATCACTGGCGAACTGACCGGATCACTTGCCGACGGTGTACAGGCTGCGCGTACGCAATCTAAGTGCACGTTGCTCGGTTGGTCTAGTGGTGGTTCTAGCTGGGCGGCATAATCCTTCTACGTAGCACGAGAATCAACGACTAACGCATGCATCACGGTAGTGACATCGATTGCTAGCAAGGCAACCGGGTCCAACGGAGTGAGGAGAGACGTCGCCCCTCTCCTTGCGTAACTCAGTTTCCCGAGTTAGTTGGACGAGGTACGCGTGCCTTGCCCTTTTTGGGGCATTGTGGGGTCAAGTTAGTGACTCCATTGCACCAAAGGCAATATCCGTACCGTTGACGAAGGTCATAGACTTCCTTGGTTATCTTGTATGTCGTCCATGGCTGCTGCCCCGTTCCCGTCGATGCCGTCTCTTGTGTCGCCTTCTTCTTCCGAACTCTCTCGGGACGCTTCGGCGGGAGCGCTGGTACAATTCCTATATTACTCGAGGATGCTGCTGCAGCGTGGAGATCGACTGTTTCTTCAGAAATCATACCATTGTTATGTGACGGTCGCTGATAGCCCATCTTAGCCACATAATGCGGCTGGGACTGCCGTTCGTTTGCGGCCTTGCCATCCGTTTGGATGACCAAGTTCGCACGATCCAGGATGGCCGGGAATGAGGTGTAGTCGTACTCGTTGCCGAGTGCGGTTCGCAGTCCTGCGCACGATCGTGAGAAGAACTCGGATCATTTGTTAGTAAAGCTCAAATCGAAGCCTGGTGTGGTCACTATCTTTTGCCACTTGGTTATCCAATCTCGAGTTGGCATACTCCCTTGCGAGCAGGTGTATACCTTGTTCATGACCGCCTTCACGACGTTGCGGACCATGAAGCAAGTGAACCACAGTTGCTCGAACTCCTTCCGCGTGATGTGCATGTGGAGTTCCGCGATGGTGCATTTCTTGGTAGCCGCCAGATGGTTCATCCATGTCTGCGCTCCTCCAATCAGTTGTAAGTAGAGCGCCTTCATCATGTCGTCAGTCGGAACAGTGCGGCATGATGCTTCCGTGAGGAAACTTTGCCACCATGTCAAGGCATCCGTCTTGTTGTAGTCGTCGAACTTGTTGATGTCGAAGTGCGGCATCTAGTAATTCCTTGTAGCGGCGTCCGATCTTGTCTGCAGTTTGGTGATGCTCGTCTTGATGGCGGCCACCGTGCTGCTGATCGTGGCCGGACTAGTGAAATCACCTAGTTCGCCAATGATAGTGACGACGTGATCGATGCACTCGTTGAGCTGCTTCGTCGCGTCTGTTGTGCAGCCTGGTGCTGCTTAGGCCTTAGCCTCAATGCTGTTGATGCGTGCGAGAGTGGAGTTCAACAGTTGTTGCTGCTGCTGCTGCTGTGTTGCTGCGGCGCGAACAGCAGTTGTTAAAGCGGCCACCTCTTGCTGGTGCTTTTGTCTTTGCTGTGCTTCCGTGAGCAGGTGTGCCTGCAGCAGTTTGTTGTTCCACATTACTCCCCTCGTCACGCTCAACATCAGGGTAGCCAGGTTACTTCTCTCTACCTCCGCCTGTGTCGGATCCGCCTGCGCGTCCGTAGGCACAAAGAACATGCCTTGTAGTAGCGTTGTCCACTGATTCTCATTTTGAATCAGGGACTCCGTGCTGGCGGCATTCCGTTTGTCTCGTGCCGCTGCGTCAGCCTCAGCAGTCTGCTGAGCTTGGGCTGCCGCCTCATTGGCCAGCAGCTGACGTTCTGCCTCTGTTGCCTCCTGCTGAGCCTTGGCGGTAGCTACGACATCCGTGAATACCTGTAGCCGCCCAAGGTAGTCAGCCAACGGTTCAAGGGCCCCTTGGACCGGACATGCGAGAAGAACTCCGGTGGTAACAAGTACTGTCAGTGCTGTACTCGATGTCGCTGGAGTCGTCCGCTTACTGAGCCGCTGTTGCTGATACTTAAATGGAGGTACCACAGAACGGGTACGAACTGCAAGCCTGGCACTGCGTCGTGGCAGTGCCCCTGTGTCCTGTTCCGTCGACATCAGCTCTAGCTGATGTGGTACTTGAGAAATTCCGGTGGTTACAGATTACGGGGAGGGTAGGGAGAGTGGGAACAGGGATAGAACAATCAAGCACTTCGCATACAGTCCCTATCCCACTGATGGACTTTAGACACCTAATCAAACAGGAAAAAATAAAATTTCCCGTAAACAACTCAAAAATTCGTAATAACTACTAATAAGAAAATAATAACGAATTATTTAATCAATAAAGTTTAATTAATGATTAGTAACGAATTAATAATTCTTTATAATAATCAATTAAAACAATAATTGTAATAATGATAATTAATGAATTTGAATTGTAACAAGATTAGATATCCGTTGAGATCATCTGAGGTCCGGAAGTTCACCATTAATTTGTAAACTACCCGGAAGCTGCAATTCTGGGGAACAATCACGAACACTTTGCCAAAAAAAAATTCGAAAATTTTGGGAGAAAAACACTCGAATTTCCGAAAAACGTAAAATTTCGAGAATTTCAGCCTACGAAATCCGATTTTTAAAGGCCAAAGTTCGTTTTCGAAATTTTTCAAACCAGGGGGAAAAAAAAAAAAATCGCGAAAATTTCGAGCCCAACCCTACTTTTACGCGATTCCGCGGAATTTTCGGAAGTACAATTCCAAAACGTTCGAATTTCCCAAGTTGATTGAAAACCAAAAATTTTCGTAACCCTAATTTCCAATACTACAATAAAATAAAAATGCCGATTTAGAATACAAAATACAGGATTAAAATCAGAATGCTGAATTATAAAAACGAAAACCAAATTGAAATCAAAATGCCGAAGTAAAAACAGTACTGATTTAAACCTAATCACGAATTAATAATCAGAAATCCGAATTAAACAGGATGTCGGATTGCCCAGAATGCACTTAATCGAAATCCGAAGTAACCAGAATACCGGATTAAAACTGAAATCCGAAGAAAAGGTCCGAATAACGAATTGAAACGAAATGCCGATTTAAACAGAATACCGAAAAAGAAAAAAAAAACATTGCAACTTTCAATCTCGATAGTAATACAGAGCTGATTGGGAACATTGAAGGAGCAATCCATTCCTAATCAGACTTACCTTGTGAGCAGATCCGTGAAATGGTCTGCTCCGATACCAAAACTGTTACATACTCGTGAATGTATCAACGAGTATGGGGCAGAACCAAAGATCAACCACTACAGGATTAGCATGTATGCAGCGGAAGTCTAATAAACGAGATGACTCACACTCATACAGATATCACTCCACACACATACAATTGTGAGATGGTGGGGTCTGAGCCATGCATAGACAATTTCAGGCCCCGTACACACATACACAAATGAAAGGTGGGAGGAGATTCGAAGGAGGTGGGGAAGGTAGACAACACCGAAGGTCACCRAGATAGAATCCGATAGGTCACCGATATGGTAGTCCAAAATGTCATCAAACAAGATCAAAATGTCGAGGACAATAAGTCACCAATGTCRGAGATACAGAGTCCTAATGTAAACGGTGTCCGAACTGTGATGCCGCCGAGTATCAACCCCAACAATCTCCAAGTCTCGAATCCGGTAAGTACCACAGCTTCATACCACCGAAGACCAACACTGATCTCTGTCCAACTAGTATAAGTCTCCAATCTGAAGAAGAAGAAGAACTAGTATAAGTCTCCAATCTGAAGAAGAAGAAGAAGAAGAAGAAGAAGTTTGAAGAAAGAAGAAGTAGAAAAGAGAGAGAGAGATGGCAGAGGGGAAGGAGGTGAGGAGGGAACGGGACCATGGAAGGAGGAGAAGAGATCCTCGCCTCCTGGTACCTGCCCGGCTGCTGTCGAGGCAGCTATGGCCGCCGTGCTGCTGCTGCTCTCCTCGCTCGCTGCTGCTGCTGCTGTCCTCCGCTCCTGCGCTCAAAATAGCGCTGCTGCTGCCAACCGATACGCACAGGCATAACGCTGGTGGCTCGATACCTCGAAGTGAGGCCGGACCAGTACTTAGTACTGGTTCGAAGAAGACCGGCCTCAATGCTGTGAGGCCTCGGTTGGGTCTGAATCGTCCAGATCGACGATTCAGATCCGACCGGAGAGCGCCAGCCTCAAAGGCACCGCCAGGCCCAAAACGAAAATGTCGTTTGGGCCTGGTCCGTCGGTCTGGTCCAAGTCGTGGCCTTTCGGCCTGATAATCCCCCAAGGTCGGGCCTTTAGGCCCTAATGTATCCCTCTGCCCCTAAGTCGGGTCCGGTAGGACCCGTGTGGCGTCGAAGATGTAACACCTGGTGTTGTTTGGGCCTCATATGTTTTTCTAGTGCCCCTGCCGGTACCCACACCAAATTTGCAGCATGCCCCTACAGGATAGCCGTTCAAAAAAATTATGATATGCCCCTACCGGTACCATCAATCTTTTGAACAGGTAAGTCTCCAACCTCGCCGCTGACCTCATGCTACTTCCATAGATAGGATGAGCAAAACCGAATGAATCTAATATACACTGCGGCCACTCTTGTTTGTTTGTTTGTGTGTGTGTGTGTGTGTGTGTGTGTGTGTGTGTGAGAGAGAGAGAGAGAGAGAGAGAGAGAGAGAAACGTCCGACCTCATGCTACTTCCATCGATAGGATGAGCAAAATCGAATGAATCTACTGCTAGAACATGGAAATAAACACTGCCACACCTGTTTTTTTTTTGTTTTTTTTTTAATGTGTGTGTGTGTGTGTGAGAGAGAGAGAGAGAGGGAGAGAACATGTATCTCACACACACACGCACACTCCTAAAAGATATGATGAAATTGATACTGCTCCAAAAGAAAGAGCACAAGGTATTACAATCAATACAGCTCATGACATGTTGAATATGAAACAGCTTCACGTCATTATCCTCATGTAGATTGTCCTGGACATGCAGATTATATAAAAAATATGATCACAGGCGCTGCTCAAATGGATGGTGCTATTTTAGTAGTATCTTTAGTAGTATCTGCTGCTGATGGACCTATGCCTCAAACTAAAGAGCACATTTTGTTAGCTAAACAAGTAGGTGTACCTAGCATTGTAGTCTTTTTAAATAAAGAAGATCAAGTGGATGATGAAGAGATACTTCAATTGGTAGACTTAGAAGTTTGTGAGTCTCTCATGAATTACGAATTTCCTGGAGACAAAGTACCAGACTACTACCAGTTGTTTCAGGATCTGCTTCAAAAACAAGTGTGGCAGTGTATATTTCCATGTTCTAGTGGTAGATTCATTCGATTTTGGTCATCTCTCTCTCTCTCTCTCTCTCTCTCTCTCTCTCTCTCTCTCTCTC